ACACATGCAGAATCTATTTCCTTGTTGCTTAATTATTATTTTTTTCTGAGCTCTCTTTAATACTTTCTGACTGATTTCTGCAAGGAAAGTTCCCTATGATGCAAGAGAAACCTTAGGGTATCCTGAAGTTGGACAGAATTGTATAACTTGAGGTATATTCAACTAACGTCAAAGAAAAACTGTGCTTATTATCAATGAATTTCTCATGGACTGGTCAGCATTACAGTAAAATGGAAATTATGCTTCATTAATCCCTCCCATTAATCCCTCATCCTTGAAAATTAGGTTAAAAACACTGGTGCATCTGGTATCAACAGACCCATCTCAGTATGCGAAAACCTTTGTGTTTGAACTGTTAGCAGTGAGATTGTTTTTTCTGAGAGAGGGAAAAGAAAAAAATCTGTAGTAAAACACAACTAGATTATTACTGACACTTCCCTCCCTCCCCCACTAACATCTTTAATGTTTACCTTTCTTGCATCTCGTATCATCTTCCGAATAGTTTCCTTTATGGTATAAGGCTGTGCTCGTGGCGGATGGAAAAGCAGATCAATATTTGTGCCACCAGAAATTCCAGGCATTAGGTAGGGCCAACCTAAGTCAAGATTTGGAGCTTCCACATCTGATTCAATGGGCCAGTAGGTTCCCGAGGAAGAGGTGTCATCAATAGCATGGTTAGAGGAATAAACTGTGTTTTGGGGAAGTTTGTGAACATTATTCAAAATATAATCGATTTCCTCATCTGCTAGGAACTCTGAGCATCTCTCTTTAGAAAGAAATTCTTTGTAGGCTTCCAAACCTCCTTCAATCAGAGCATCAATAGCTACTCGATACCATTCCTTGTAATGAGGTTCAATATAGTTGTCTGATCTGCATTCATCATGTAAGGATGATAGCAAAGATGAAGTTTCCATTTTCACATATATTTTGTATGAAATCTCTTAAACATCCATTCATGAGCTTGATGAAATATATCTGTAAAGAGAAAAAAGTAACAAAACAATCAGAATATTACTAGAGATGTATGATGCACACAGGTACTATTCAAAATACTTTTCTGGTAATGTTGCTCCAAGTATTTCTAGCACCTTCCAAGAAATTTAAAATGTTTTGAAAAGGCTCAGGGATCAATACTGCCAAATGAATACTGAAGATTTAGATAAAGAGCTGCTTCTGCATAAGGCAAAACAAAACATAAAAAGTGATTTGATGTTCTTACCTTAAAAGCTACAGCAGAGTTCATAATACACTGAAGATCTGTACCACTAACACCAATACATACCTAATGCATGGTCCGATATGCTACCATAGGTTATGCTTCAAAACTCTTTATAACAACTGACAGGGTAGTGTTCAGATAAACACTTCAGAAATCAAATACATTTCCTACTTTTTGATGCATTACTTTTTCTCTGCAAAGCATTCCTGTTTTCTGTCGTCTCTGAAACCACAGTCATTCAGGTCCTTCTCCTTATCATCTGTTCTCCCATGCTGATGTAATCCATTTGTTCCTCCCAAGCAGAACCAGCCTACCTCATTTCAGGGAGTTATGAGGAACTCCAGAAAGATTTATCCTCCCACATCTGGGATCAACCTCTGAATCAGCAATCTTATGTCTAGTTTCCACCCTGCTTATTCCTTCTGCCAAAAGGAGCGGCTGCTTTAATCTTACCTTATTTCTTTTTTTCCAAAACATTAATAATAAGTAAATTGTCTACTGACGAACTTATAAATCCATTCTTACCATGTTTTTTATTTCATTTAACAAGGACTGATAGGGTTGGTTCTTGCTGCAACAATTTGGGATTTAAGATACAGAGAGGACAAATAGCCAGCTTCTCTTCATGCTTGTGCAACCTCATGGGACTCATCTAACACCTAAACTACAATGAATTTCTGCACTGGACAGGTAAGCCACAAAAGAACCCCACAAAGGCGTGGGGGAGGAGGGGAGGCTTCATGAGCGTGGCATGTGCCTGGCCATGTACAATGGAAAGATGATACATGGTAGTAGTGTTCAATCTTTCAGGACTAGAGCATGAAGCTTAGGAGAATGCAGAAGTAGGAAGGAAGTCCAATGAAGACAGAATAGTTACAAAAAGCATACATGATTTATGGCTTGCAAGTTAACACTGGGTTTCCCTACAAGCCTAGTTATTGGAATAGCAGTGTAATGGCAAGCAATAATCATTCACAGTTCTGATTTAGTTTACTGGCATGTAAAAGCAACACAATTCTCTCCTCACATCAAGAACTTTCAGAAATTTTGTGAACAGTGCATTTTCTTTCCACTTTCTGCTGGGAACAGTTTAAATCTTCTTGAAAGGAAACACGAATTAGACCCATCAACCTAAAGGAATGAAAATCAAAATCTCCACACGCTACTGATAATCCAAAATTCAATTATGTGTTCGATTAAACCAAGATTTCTGAGGAACTTGGGAACTCTGAGGTTAAAAAAATGCCAAGAAAGAAAAATCCAGATCTGAGGCTGGCATCAGCATGTCATATGAAATAATTCCATTTGAATCCTGTCTCTCAGCCAAGTAGCAGGGTAGATCTTCCCAGATAGGACTGCTTTCGAGCCTGAGGGAAAGGAGTGTTTCTGGCTGCTTCCAGAGTAGCTCTTTGTGGCAAACTGGAAAGCAGAGAGCAAAAGGGCTCCAACTGCTCTCCCCTGGTTGAGAATTACATGTATTCCTGTGCCAGATATTCAGGGCTTCATTCTACACCGCTCACAGGTAGAAATATAACATTATAAAATAAGGGTGATACCATTTTACTTTGGCCAGATGCAGATACAGCCTGTGGTGTAATACGACGGAGAACTGAGCACATAGTACAGACAAGACAGACAGATGCAAAGGTCAGAGTCTTATAATGTTGTAAAATTAAAGCATTCATCAGTGTCCCATGGAAACCAATCATCTGGAACAGGTTTTCAAGACATTTTAGATGAAGAATGAAAACCATCAAGACTAAAAATCCAGTTACTCAGCAGAGTTGTTCCTAAGAATCTGAACACTAACACAGGTGACTTTACTGAGAACCTAACAGACCCCTCTTGTAGGGCTCTCCAGGACAAGTCAGTCTCAAAACAGTGTAGCAAAACAATCAATCTTACTGTGACATTTAAGACTAAATCTGATTTTACAAAGGCAAATGAAAAATATTTCTAAAATCCTTACTACTCTGGAATGATGTGTTTCTAAAATAAGAATTTTGCCACTGGCTGCATATATACAGTTGAGAAAGACTTAAGTGTTTACTTCAAAAACTTGTCTAAATCCCCTTTTTCTTCTCCTCACTCTTTCCTTTGAAAATAATATAAGGGAACAAGACTATACTTAATATGTAAAGTTGTGCAATATAAAATATTGAATGTTATGAACAAATAAAAGTCATCATTAGTATAGTATATTATTTGACATTTCATTGAAAACAATGAATTAATTAAATGTGGCATAGGTCAAATACAGTAACTTATGCTCAGACTTATGCTGCAAGCAGGGTATAAATACACTGTAATCTTCAAAAGGTGCGACTTCTAGTGTAGTCTTCCAAACAAGAACAGTTATTTTGCAGTGAACATCTTTGATGTTGATCTTTTGATTTGTAAGTGCAGTTTACAAAAGAAGCTTCAAGCAGTGCACATTTATTTAAGAAAGTAAATGTAAAATCTTGTCAGCACAGAAATAAATCACAGAACAGATGAGATTCTAATTCTGGTTTTTGTCATTAAGGACATCAGCATGCCATACGTTTATGAGAAGAAACAAAAGAAAACTCCCAAATAAAAATGACGGCTTCAGGTATATTTAACAAAAGTTCTAGATATCTTGACACAGGTGTTTTCCTTCTTAGAAGGTAAGAGCTATGTTGTAGAAAATGTACCTATGGAATCAATACAATTTTGAACAGAGTGGCAGGGGTTGACAAAATTCTGAAATAAACATTTTGGTGTCTTCAACTTTGCATAATGATTCTGCATAATGAGCTTGATCCTACTCCTGAGGTCAACAATTCTATAAGCAGAATGAGGCACATCTCTGGAGATGTCCAGAGCTTCGTCAGGCTTCATATACATGATTACAAATTTTACCAGCATCAGGAAAGCTGCTGTTAATCCTCTGAGAAGTATCTTTGGCTGTTAATCCCAGCCCAGAGTATCAGGTATGTTCTCTGCTTGGACTTAAAACTTTAACTTTTTTACTGAGTGCCATTAATGGGTTTAAATAGAATTTAAACTCCAATGCTGCTAAAACTGAATCTTCTGCTGCAGAACACAAATTCAGAATCCTGCACTGATGTGATCATCTTGTCCTATTAACAACACCCCAGACCTTTCCAGTGCCATTACCAAGAACCCAGCAAGAAGAGAGCTTTTCTTTGAAAGAAACGTCAATGTGCCTTTCTACAGTAAGATCCCAGCTTTCACAAAAGCAGCAGATGACAACTGCCCACTGAAGAAAATGATGCAACATTCTGTGGTGGTTCCAGAAGCACAGTCCTCCAGGCTAGAGCTAGAGACATGCAACTTCCCTGACTTACTACTAATATTCACAGGATTTGAAAAGTTTCCCATTCAGGAACTTTGGGCTCTAACCCCAGGCTCACACGGCCGGTCCTTGGCAAGGCCCTGGCCATGGTGCGCTCCTTGGGATATCCTAACTTTTGCAAAGAGAGTGTAATTCCTTTGACAGTTTCTGCATAAAGTTTCAAGTGGTAAGTTAAACCATGAGGACGTCTTGTCACAGTCCCTTCTCTCAGGCATGGCTTTTGGGGACATCCACCGGAGGAACTCTGACACACGGCTCTGCTGAGGAGCCTTCCCACCACTCAAGGGCCTCGTGCTGACTGAACAAACAAGCATTTTATGACAGCCACCTACCACCAACCTTCGTATGAAGGAATTGCATCAAAAATAAATAATAATTACCTATAGTAAGAAGTGACGGGCAATAATTTCATTATAAAGGGAATTACACTATTTTCCGTGGATGCAAAGGGCATCAGATTCAAGTGAAAAACAACGCCCCAAGCGCTCCTGCTTCTTTTTCTTTACTGTCCAGAAAGTTAACTTTCCGAGCAAAGCGGAGGCCACCAGCCCCGCGCTGGCTCCGCCGCGGGCACGCCTCCCCCTGAGGACCGCATGCCCGTGGGACCCCCGCCGGGCCCTTCCCCTTCTCCCGCCACCGCCCCACGCCACTCGGCGCCAGGTCGCTTCAGGTGCCCGTGGCCGGAGCCGCGCCGCCGCAGCCTCAACTTCGCGATCCCCGCGCCCCTGTTTCAAACGCCCCGTGGCGTCGAGCAGGCCGCTGAAGGGGTGGGGAGGAGGGGGGGGCGGCCACCCCACACGCCCGCCTGCAGCCGGGTCAGACCGTGCCCGACCGTGCCCGTGGCGCTGCTTCTACCCGTCCAGGAGGAGGCGGAGGGCAGACCCACTTACCGCGCCGGTGCCCGCTGCGGGGTCTCGCCTCCGGAGCGGCGGGGCGGTTCGACCCGGCTGCTGCGATCGCCGCGGCGGCGAGTCAAGGCGGCGCTGGGCTCATCGCAGGTACTTCCCGTCGCTCTCAGGCGCGGTGGGTGTGGAAACCAGTTACAACATGTCAGGACGGTGTCGCACCAAACCCGCCGCCGCGGGAGCGGGGCAAGGGCTTGTCTGAACTGGGGAAGCCCGGCCCTCGTGCGGAGCGAAGGGCAGCGCCTACCCAGCGCCGCGGCGGGTCTCCCCCCCGCCCCATTCCACCCCATCCCATCCCGGCCCATCCCTGCCCGCCGGGGCGGACGCGGGTGCCCGCGGTCCTGCGGGGCAGGGTCCGTCCCGGGCCGCGCACACGGGTAGCCCCGGAGGGACCCTGGGGGCGGGGTGCTTGTGTGCGTGGGGGATAAAACTGAAACAAACGTTGGCTTGGATTACAAAATAAACCCGTCAGCCTGGAGTCACGGTTTCCAGGTTAACTCCCTGGGAGCAAGTCACGGCAAGGGAGCCGTGCACGTTTGAGACCTTTAAATCGGGTTATGTGGGTGAGCCCCCTTTCCACAGCTCAGTTGCTTTAAAATGATCTTTTGCTCCTTTTTTTCTCAGGTTGGAGAAACGAAGGCAGAGCCCCCCCATCCAGGCTGCAGTGCCAGCATCATCTTCCTCAGCTGCCCAGAGGCTGGACATGCCGATTTGGCAATTCTGTGTTGGGAAACCCTTGAGAGCCTTTCTGAAGGCTCTTCCAGAACATGGTCATCTTTGTAGTAGGATCATGCAACTGTCGACACATCAGCGCGTCTCATATATGCATGACTTAAGCACACCGAGGTGTAAGAACACGAGTTTTCTTTGTCATTTTAAATTAATGGCAGCAGATGGAAACTTTTTATAGGTTTTGCCCATAACCTGTAGTGTTTTGTCACCCTGTAGTGAATAACCGCAGGCAGTTTTTTCACAAGCCATTTAAGACAGTGCAGCGTAACCCTGACAATTACACTTTATTGGCAATAGTTCGTCTGGTCTGGGTTTAAGCACAAACTTTTTTTTCTAACCTTTACTGCCCAATAGCAAGTGCAGGTTATATCCTATTCTGAAGGTACTAATGGTTCTACTGTGACTTTTTGAAGAGGATTCTTTGAGGAAAAAAAAAAAAAGTAATATCTATACAACAATATACTTATATAAATGTATAAATCTGATAGCCACCAGGCAACACTTTTTCTGTACAGTTAATTCAGGTAGTGGAGTGCAAAAGAGGAAATAGTTGATGTCAGTATACTCATGGACTTACCTCTGCAGACCTAGGGTTACCCGGTTTATATGGTTAGACTCTTCTCACACCCAAAAACCAATTTCCCTGGGTTTCATGAAACATGAAGAGGGAAAACTGCTGTAAAAATAAACATACTGTAAAAGTTTACTTAGTATTTTATAGTTAGTTAAAACGCAGCACTTTTTATTCCATAAAATGTGTGGTTCAAAAGGAGAATGTGTTTCTGTGGAAACTTGTCCATCAAGAGGTGGGTCCTATTTTCCATAATTATTTTTGAAAGGGTAGGAAGGTAGGTGGATGGTCACAAAAGCACTTTTAGCCTTGACTGAATCGGTTGGACTTTCATGACATAAAATTTACAAGTACTACTGGGTCTTTCTTTTAGAGAACTCCATGGGTGAGTACCAGCTTAGCACAAACAAAAAGCTATAATGAGATCAGTAATGGCTATCTATTTAGATAGAAATAGGAGAAGAAATAGGAAAAATTAGATAGGAAATCTTCATGGAAAAGGGACCTAGAGTTTTTTTGCTGCATTAGTATCTGTACAGTAGGTTTTTTGATCTGTGCCTTTACAGTGCTCAGCTCAGTGTGAAACCAATGTAATACTGAGATCTTAAGCAACACACATGCACACATGCAATACAAATGAACAATAGAGTATAAAACACCAACAACAATATTGGTAGTAATAAGGCACTTTAAAATTAATGGGTAAACAGAACGATGAGAAGAGATGTAGAAAACTTATATCTTTTTAAATACTGAGAAAGCCCTTGCATAAAATATATAAAGAGAGGATGGCAAATGATGCTGGAGATTCTTCCACACAGTTGGGGGTTGCCTGAGTTTATCAACTGAAGCCCTCCAGTAGCTATACCAGACCGGACATTCCATAAAACCTAGCTTGGATAACGTGTTTTGGAAACCAGCTACCCGCAGCCATCTGTCAAAATAAAGAACATTTTTATTCAGCAGGTAATAAAGTTCCAGGTCATAAACTTCCAGATCTTACAGCCACAGGAGGCAATGGAGGCAGATGGTATGAGCAAGCTCAAAAAGCTGTAAAACAAATTCTTAAACAATACATATAAAACTGGATTATAAAAAGGATGAAGCAGGGATATGCCGTTCAGTATCCTTACTCCTAGAGTTGTGGAGCTGCAGCAGTTTGAGGGGAATGGACTGCAGAAACTGGCCTGGCTCTTATTTGCCTGAACAACCTTTCCTTTTGCCATTGGAAATGTAACACTGGGCAAGCCCAATTGAAGCACCATATTAATTGGAATAGTTTTACTGGTATCCCACCTATTCATGAAGCTGCAAAACTACAGAAAAGAAAAAAAAGAAAAAGTTCTTATTGTAGACACAGCTTGTTCATGGGAAAAAAAGAATTAACTCAGTATGCTTGATACCACCATGTTGAGAATGTAATCAGGAAGAACACTTATTGTCTTAAGTGACCTGAGTACTCAGATTATGGTGCTGTTGGATTGTCATCTCTGACTTCTATCAGCTCCCAGTTGTCAGTTCTGAGACTTCTTTTAGTATTGACTTTGCCATGTACAGGTCTAGCTGAATGCAAGCAGAACACGAGATTGTTATCACATACACAGTGACACTAGTCCAGAATGATAGAATCATAGAATAGTTAGTGTTGGAAAGGACCTTAAGATCATCTAGTTCCAAACTCCCCTACAATGGGCATAGAAACCTCACGCTAAACCATCTCACCCAAGGCTTCATTCAACCTAGCCTTGAACAACGCCAGGGGTGGAGCATTCACAGCCTCCCTGGGCAACCCATGCCAGTGCCTCACCACCCTGCGAAAGGATGGCTGCACAGGTAGCAGCAAGTAGCCCAGTTTCTCTGTTTTCTTCATGGCTTGTCAAGTTTTTTAGTCGCACAGTTAGGTAGCTTCTTCAGGCTTACCTAAATATTCATACACCCAGAAGTCTTCAGAGATTTTACATGTCCTTGTGGTTCAGGCTCTGTCTTAGAAATCTTTTTGCCCAGATGATATTCATGTAGTTGCAATTTCCAAAATACTCTTGTCATACTCTTGGCTGACTCTTGTCATTATTTTTTCCTTTGTCACTTGCCTTTACTTGAACATCCACTTTTGCCTTACTTTGGAAATGGTAGTCATTGTACTACTACAAGCAGGTAGTAATAAAAAATTGATCAGAAAATAAAAGAAAAAAAGCCCCAATATCATCCTTCCTTTCCCCCCCCCTTTAGTTGGAAACCTCACATTTTGCTCTCCACCTGCTTGCTTTCCCAGAAAATGAAACTTTCTGAAGTATCTTTCTTACTGGCCTTAGCCTGTCCTTATCATCACTTCTTTCCAAGGGCTGTTGCATTGCTGAAGTTTGAATGACAAAATCTTAACCATATATTTTGTGATCCAGATAGGGGTTTAGAGATATGGGATGAATACTCTTATCTCTTGAAGACAGGCATACTTTGGGGTAATGCAGAGATGAATACTGAAAATTTTATACTAATTTACCGTATAAATTTATATTGATTTTTATGAATTTTATTTATATTACTATTTAATTTTTAGTAAACAATATTTATATATTGGTATACTATATTTTTCTATACATTTTATGCTAAAAAACCCTACTGAGATTTTTTTATAGTATATATTTTTAATATTAGAGGAACTATTATATGCAACTATGCATTGTGTATAAGTAAGAACCAAATTATTAAAATCTAGCCTTAAACCTGGGATACCCAGTGTCGTGTTTTAACCCTAACCAGACAGCTTGTCCACTCACTACCCCCTCTTCTTGCCCTCCCCCATTCTTGGAGGGACGGAGAGGAGAATCAAAAAGAATGCAACTCCCACAGGTTGAGATAAGAACAGTTTAGTAACTAAGGTATAACACAAATCACTACTGCTACCACCAATAATAGTAATGATAAAGGAAATAACAAGGGAAGAGAATACAACACCCCATCACCAGCCGACCGATAACTTGCCCCCCAGCCTGACTAAGCACCGACCGATATCTCTTCCAACCCTGTAGTCCACGTAGCCCTTCCGGGTAATTCCCAGTTACCTCCTGGGCATGACGTGCTGTGGTATGGAATACCTCTTTGGTCAGTTTGGGTCAGGTGTCCTGTCTCTGCTTCTTCCCGGCTCCCCTCCTCCCTGGCAGAGCATGAGGCCCACAAAGTCCTTGGCCAAACCAAAACATCATTGTTTTTCAGCTCTGTTCCCAGCTGAAAGTCAAAACACAGCCCTGCACCAGCTACCAAGAAAGAGAAAAATAACTGCCACTGCTAAACCCAGGACACCCAGTTGGACCAAAATCTTGAATAAATCAAAGTCCAGTCTGTTGTTGATACAGTAGTAATAGAAAACACCTCTTCCTGTTTATGCTGTTTGTACTCAGTGGAATGGCAAGCTGTCTGCTGTTGTTTGATCTTAATGTCTTAATGAACTATAGATCCAATTCCTTCATTAGGCTATGGCCAGGAGCCTCAAACAAGGACATGGGGTTTGTGTAGACTCTTACAATGTAGCCATAAGGAACTTCCAGTGAAAAGGAGAATTCACAGCTCCCAGGGTGTTTCTGACTGAGAAAAAAGGTGAGACCTGTAAATAAATGCATAGAAAGAGAAAAATGAAACAAGGCTAGAGGGAACAAATTGTTGCTCAATTTGCACATGGTTTATTTTCAAAGCTATAACCACTTTGAAATGCCTATGTTGGCACCGACAAGGACCCACTTTTGGCCTAATGTTCAGCTGTCTGCTTGGAGGCGAGGTTGGCAAAATCATGAAAGGTCTTTGTCTCCTTTCAATCCCAGAAGTGCCTGAAGATAGTTTTCTTTCCAGGGCTGGTTACAGTGGATGCTTCAGTGGAACACTGGAGCCTTCAGAGTTACCCTAGTGTTCACTTGGGTACTTGTGGTCCTAATGAGCTTTATAAGCCCAAGACCGTCTTTCTTTTAACCATTTTCTAATGCTAAAATCTGGGAAGAATTAAAGGTTGTACAATGCTTTTGGGAGGTCTCTGGCCATCAGTAGTAATACTGGCAGAAGCAGAAGGGAAAAATAAACCAGGGAATAGAGCAGCCTATATGAAATCATAAAATCACTTAAAAGTCTCAACAGCATAGAAAGTTAGTTATATTAATGTTCCAAAGTATCATCATAAGTCTGAATGCAGCTGCTAGAAACGTCAGGATATTCTTTTCTGGGTAGATTCATAAACTGTCAATGAAGTTATAGCCAAGGAAGTTCTTACCAATGGTATAAGCAGTAAACAAGTTCTGAAAATATTCCATCCTCAGACAAGATTGCCTTAACTGCCCACATACCTGTCCAGAAAACACAAATGCCCTATGATTAGGGGCTGTATATTGGCTGAATGATCCAAAGCAAATGCTGGAGTTCACACATGCTCTCAGCAAATGCTTTCCCATGAATTTATTACTTTACAATCAGTGTGAAGTTGCTAATTTATATGTACAATTAATGAAATAATCTTAATTAACTTTACATTCATAAAGCTGTCTTCAGAATTAATGCAGAAGT